CTCTGTCCTCTCTCCCTTAATCTGCTTGTTTGCCTACGAAATTCTCGCTCCCTAATCTCCAACTTCCATCCTTCGAAACTAAAAATCCAATTCCTGCATCTCCTTTCTCGAGGTATGTTTGTATTTTTTTGCTAAGCATTGTTTAATTGAACTTAGGGTCCGTAGCTCTTTCTTCAAGTAGAGGAATTTATGGAATTTGTTTCAATTAGGGAGTAAAAGTTAGGGGAAAAGTCGAAAACAATTGAAAATTGTTACATGTATTTGATACAGAAGTGGATTTTTTCTGAAGTTTTTTGGAAGTTTGTGTTTTGATTTCAGTTAGAGGCATAATTTGTAGAAAAGATGGCTACGGTTGATGAAACTGTAGACATCGAAATTGCGGTGAAATAAATGTTCACCAACGCATTAAAATTTTGACGTGTCAAAGCATACATGGCATATGCCACGTGTCATACAAATTGTACACATGGTGTGTGACTCAACAAAATAAAAAGAAATACCCTTGGAGGATTACACAAGTTTTTCTTCTCATTTTGGGCAATGACAAGGCAAGCACATTTCAATCCATTGAAGATCAAAACAAGGTTTTCTTCTCATTTTGGGCAATGACAAAGCATGCACATATCAAGTTTAAAATGATATTAAGTGGAAAATTAGGCCATAAAATTACCACTTCAAGTTTAAAATTGTATTAAGTGGGAAATTAGGCAATGGTGCTTGGAAAAGAAAAAAATATTTTGTGGTGGTGATTCATTCTCAAAGCCTATAAATAGGCTTCTACATCAAGGTATCATGAACCAATTCACAAATACATTTCTGTACTCCCAAAATGGAAGAGAATACTCCCCACACATCCAAAATCCTTGAAGCTTTGAAACTCTAAAGCTTTCAAGCATCCAACCTCCCAAATTCAAGCAAATCCCGAAGGATCAAGAAAGCCCTCTTCGTTCTTCGTCAAATCCTCCTTCAAGATCAAGCCCCAACGACCCTTGAAGAAATTCCTCCTTCAAGATCAAGCCCCAACGGCCCTTGAAGAACTTCCACCAATTCAAGATCAAGCCTCGGCGGCCCTTGAAGAAAGTGTTCAACAAATCCACACAACTGTTCATCCTAAGATCAAGCCCCGACGGCCCTTTTGGATCAACAACATCACCAAATCCACATAACTGTTCATCCTAAGATCAAGCCCCAACGACCTTTTGGATCAACAACATCAACAAATCCACACAATTGTTCATCCTAAGATTAAGCCCCAACGGTCATTTGGATCAACAACATCAACAAATCCACACAACTGTTCATCCTAAGATCAAGCCCCGACGGCCCTTTTGGATCAACAACATCACCAAATCCACATAACTGTTCATCCTAAGATCAAGCCCCAACGGCCCTTTGGATCAACAACATCAACAAATCCACACAACTGTTCATCCTAAGATCAAGCCCCAACGACCCTTTTGGATCAACAATCATCCACCAATTCAAGATCAAGCCCCGACGGCCCTTGGATCAACAATCCACCAATTCAAGATCAAGCCCCAAAGGCCCTTGAAGAACTTCCACCAATTCAAGATCAAGCCCCGACGGCCCTTGAAGAAAGCATCATCGTTCATCATCCGTTCATCCAAGATCAAGCCCCGACGGCCCTTGGATCAACAACATCAACAAATCCACACATTCAACCGTTCTTCAAGATCAAGCCCAAAAGCCTTTGAAGATCCGTTCATCACCGTTATTCAAGATCAAACCTTAACGGCCCTTGAAGAAACACTCATCCTCAAGATCAAGCCCCAACGGCTCCTTGAAGATCCGCTCAAATCCACCTTCAAAGATCAAGCCCACGGCCCCTTGAAGAAACTTCCAACAGTTCATCAAAGATCAAGCCTCGACGGCCCTTGGATCAACGAAACATCCACAAATCAACACCTTACGGAGATCGAATCAGAAGTTCAAATTTGAGAGAGATTGTAACCCAAAATCATCAAACACAAATATTATTTTGTGCACGTTGTTCTTGTCTCTTTCGTTTTAGGAATTTTCCGTGTTCACAGAAACCTTGCACCCAATCACCGTTTTAATTGATGAGCTGAAGAACGAATACATTAAGCTCCATTTGAACTCAATCCGGAGGATTTCCACGATTGCCTGTGTACTGGGAGAAGAGAGGACCAGGAAGGAACTGATTCCTTTCCTCAACGAGAACAACGATGACGATGATGAAGTGCTGCTGGCAATGGCAGAAGAGTTGGGGGTGTTTATCCCCTATGTGGGTGGCGTGGATCATGCCAATGTTCTGCTCCTGCCTTTGGAAACGCTCTGCACTGTTGAGGAAACATTTGTGAGGGACAAAGCGGTGGATTCGTTGTGTAAAATTGGCTAGCAAATGAGAGAAAATGACTTGGTTGAATATTTCATTCCTTTGGTTAAGGTTAGATGATTTGATCCTATTCCATTATTTAATTGTAGTTGTTTGCCTTCTCATTACGCTTTCACTCTGGACACATGATCTTGTGGTTTGACCTGGCGGATTGGGTTGTATAGTGTATATAAAATGCCATGGTAGTAGGTTCACAATTCAAAAGTTTCGTTCTCTCTCTTATTTTCTTTCAGGTTAATAAAATGTAATTATTCACAAAATCCACTAGAACTTATATTTTGTTCACGTTATCCATATGAGAATGCTCTACCTCAATGTATTGGAATGACTTATCTGTATTTCTCGCCAACATTCACCTTTCCCAGACCCTGCGTAAAGCAGGAGCCTTGTGCATTGGGTACGACCTTTTTTTTATTCATGATGCAAACTTGTTCTTTGGACCACGATAAGTCTTGGCGTGTTTGGTACATGGTTGCGAATCAATTATACGAGCTGTGTGAAGCTGTTGGTCCAGAAGCTACAAAGTAGTCAGTTTATTTTGTGGCTTGGCTTTTATTGTGAATATTGTATTACTTGGATTAGGATGTTGTAATTATGTAAATGTGAATCATTTGTCCGATCTCTTTCTCTACCAACTTTGTTGAGTTCTAAATTAATTGATGAGTGTGGTGATGTTGGTATATATTAGATCAGACTTGGTGCTCGCATATGTTCGGCTGGGATAATAAGGCTGAAGTATGAATAGCTGCTGCAGGAAAAGTAACTAAGTTTTGCCGAATTTTGAATCCAGAACTTGCCATTCAGGAGATCCTTCCTTTTGCCCAGAACCTTAACGTCATAAAGTACTCTGTTTTTTTGCTTGTACAGAGTAATTTGTCTTTTTTTTTTTTTTTTTTTGTGTAACTAACTGTGTTGGAGCACATTATTTGAAGAATGAATCAATGAGATTTTTATCTGAATAGACATAGCTCTAAGGAAATACACATGTGATATATTTTCACTTCAAGAATTAAAAGATGAACGTTAGGTAGACATTTACATAATCAACTGCGGTACACATTTACATAACAAGTTATGGTTTACAAAAAAAACCTCTAGCTTTACATGCCCTAACTCATGCATTCTCTAGTGAGTCCCTAATACATTTGGATTTCTTAGTTCACTAAACTAACCCAAAAAACAATAGAAGCACATCAGGAAACCCAATGATGACCAAAAAAACCTAAAAACAATAGCTGCACATTTGGAACCTACCCAAAAAACAATAGCTGCACATCTGGACTATACCCAAAAAAATCCAATGATGACCAAAAAACCCAAAACAACAGCCATATATTTAAGCATGACTACTTGCAATGATATTTTGATGAAGAAAAGGTTGGGAACTTGACGGCTGAGATTCTTCACAAGGCATCCAAGGCATTGCGTTCGGCATATGCGTATTATGTGGTTGTAACTACATTCAACAACCATAATGAGATAAAATATATATATATATATATATATATATATATATATATATATATATATATGTGACAGATATCAAACAGAGAGTGCAAATTGCAAACCTGAACAGGATGATATGGAATTGGCATATAGGTATTATTACCAAACATGTGAACTGAGACCTGTATATCACATACCAATTTCAAGTTTATATTTGTCAATTAATCAAGCTTTGCTATGAAGATTAAAAAACATTCAAAAGTGCTTCACCTTTGATGAATGAGAGGGTGACAGTGGATAAGGACTAAAGACATTTATACCACCAGAATGTTGTGGAATTGTAACCTAAAACATGTCAACATTAAACTTTAATTATATATATTAAGCACATAGGCATGATAAAGAATTAAATGAGTTTAAGTACCTGATTAGACTTCTTTTTTCTTGGTAAGGCTTTTTCCAAAGCACTCCTAATTCTTCGTCTTCCTCGATGAGACTTTTCTTTCTTCTTAAACCCTTTTGGAATGACAACATCAACATTCTCCAAGCAATTGGCCATTTGGCTATTACAGTTCGTATGCCTTTTCTCATGCACATCATCATTCACTTCTAGATGCAATAGGTCTTCAACCATTTTTGCCAATTTATTTGCTTGCTTAATCACCAGTTGGTATGCCTTTACATTTTCAGATGCCCTTGTTGATAATCTAGTGAATATAGAACACAAGGACCTATATCTAAAAGCTTGTTGCAATTTAGGCTCCACTTGAATCTCATGCCCACACATGTCTACCACACTCTCAACTTTTGCTTCCTTACTCCACCTGTTCATTATATATTGTTCAAGAATTTCCTTGATAAACATGGCTTCTCTAAGGACTTTAATAGCATGACTGCACAAAATACCTTTCATCTCAAATAGTCTACAGCTGCAATAAACAGTAGATATACCTTCCCTTTTCAGCTTACGCTTCTTAGACTTATCATCTAGCTCAACCGTGTATACAAAGTCATCCTCATTAGCAACACAGTTTGTTATTGACAATTCAATAGATTGTTCAAATTGATCTTGAAACAATTTGAATATTGCTTTCGTGTAAACTTCTCTAGTTTGTTTCAACATTTTGATATCAAATTTGACATGTGCAATTCTAAATTGTAGGTCATACTCCGCTTCCTACTCCTTGTACCTAGTATCGGTAAGCACCCTCTCAAAGTTTGTGAAAAATTGAACAATATTGAGATCTGACTTCAAATAATTTTTCAGTCTTGCATTAAAACTTTCACTTATTTGTGTGCTTCGTATTCCTATAGACCATGCCGATCTCACATATGCATATGCCCATTTCTTTCTAATCTTAAAGGTGGTGGCCAACCAGTCATTCTCATGTGCATCATACTCATCAAGCATAGAATACCAAGCAGCTACAAACTCACTTTCCTCCTCAATGTGGTCAAAAAAATTTGTCAAAGCATTGTGAACTCCTTCCTCACCTCTGAACAAAGTATTCACATTTTTACAAGCATTCTGCATCAGATGCCATAAACAAAGTCTATGGTAAGTTTGAGGCATCACTTCTAAAATAGCCTTAGCCATCGCAGGATCTTGATCGGTAAAAATAGTTCTTGGAGCCTTGTCAGACATTGCCTTAAAAAATGTCTTAAATAACCAACTAAAGGAAGCGGCAATCTCATCATACATTAAAGCTACTCCAAATACAACGATCTCCTTGTGATGATTCAAACCAACAAACACTGCAAATGGTCGATCCAATTCATTGACTTTTTAAGTTGTATCAAAACTTACAACATCTCCAAAATGGCTATAATCAATTATCATTTTAGCATCTGCTCAAAACATGTTTATTATTTGCTCCTCTTTGTCCAAGTGTAATTCATAGAAGAATGATGGGTTTTCCAATATTTGTTTGGAAAAGTATTGTAGCAAGACTCCAACTTCTCCATATGCCATTTTCTTTTGCCTCACAGTTCGAAGAGAATTTTTTTTATCCTGCTTAATAAATCCCAAAGACTCTCTTCCACCTGCTTGTTTGCTTATTAACTCATAAGCCAACCTAAGTGGAATCCCCGATTCTTCAGCCAAGTCTACTTCAGTGGCTTGTGAGGCTATCATTTTCCGTTGGGATGGTAACATATGGGCATATTCTTTCTTTACTAGGGGATGATTATGTTGTTCAACAAAAGTATAGACATAAAACTTTCCCGTATGCCTATCCAACCTAACACCCATATGAGCACCACATCCAGTCCTCGTCTCTGCTCTTGGTCTTTTAATCTTATAATTTCGCTTATCTACAGCTCGAAACCCTTCTTTAGCACAAGAAAAGATTCTTGAAGTGAGTTCACCAGTCCTTTTATTCTTGCCACTACTTTCTCTTCGAATACTAAACCCCATAATTCTACCATACTTGTTGTAGAAATCATATGTTGCTTGGTCAGTGTCAAACTCCATATTTTTTGTAGGTTTCAATTCCAAAGTACATTCTACACCATCATTCGGTTTATCCATATCCAATCCTACCACAAAAATATACCAAGATTCAGACAACTTGAGCTCAATGAAAAAAACTAAATTTTCTACAGAAGCAATGCAACATATCCTCTTTTTCAAACATAAATATGCACCAAATCCAATCTAATTGCAAAAAAATCATGAAAAGGCAATTCAATAATGGAAGCCTAACCTTTATTATTGAAAACCAGTGGTAACCCGTTGATCAACCAAAGCGAGACAATGATTTCTTATGATTTCAACTGGGAGCAATGATGTTGTTCTGCCAAAGCTATTGTTGTTGCCGCATTGTTTATAGCGTAGAGATTTGCCTCACATATCAACCTGAGCCTATCTAAGCTATAACGATCTGCTGCTGCAAACAGATGTTGAGCCATCAAAGTGGAAACCCCATTGGAGTTAATTCCAGTAAGCTCTTCTATGTCAAGCAGTGAGTCCCAATATATAAAATGAAGCAACGCCTGCAGAAGGACAAAATTAATGAGTGGCTAAGGATATGCTTGAAACTAGTTATATATGTCGTATTAGTCTTTTAGACACTAGGTGGGTAAAGAAAACTTAAAGGGAGAGCACAAATAAAATATACATGAAAACGGTCCCAAGAGGATGGTTATGATTCACTAATTCTCTAATTTCACATGACATCACAAGAACCACAAAATTAGAGAAGAAAACCACATCGTCAACCTATCTTACATTTCTAATGAAGGAGGATAAGCACTACATGTAAAGCATAATACCCCATGAAAAACTGAATCTTACTACTTCTTGGTAGGCCACATTATACCACTTAATACCAAACAAAACAAATCATTACTACAATGCAATATAGATTACTGACATCAATCATGCAATCCACTAGCGATATTGCAGCTAAAGCACAGTAAATATGAGATATACAGAAGCAACACAACATCTCCCCTTTTTCAGACATAAACATGCAGCAAATCCAATCTAATTGCAAAAATATCATGAAAAGGAAATTCAATAAGGGAAGCCTAACCTTTATTGTTGAAGACCAGTGGCAACCTGTTGATCGACCAAAGCGAGACAATGATTTCTCACACGCCAGATAGAAACTCTCTCACAGAGAGAAAAGCTCTCACCAAAACGGGAGAGAACTTGGGCTTATTATGGTATTTTTCGGAGGAAGGAGAAGAGTTGCAGGAATTGGATTTTTTTTTCAGAGGAAGGAAGCTGGAGATTAGGGGAGCGGAATTTAGTAGGAAGCTGGAGATTAGGGGAGCGGGAATAGGGGCGCAAACAAGCAGATTGAGAGAGAGAGAAGAGAGACAGAGAGGAGAGAGAAATGGATTACGAGCGGGAATGGTAAAAGGCAACAAAATTGCCTTGGGTTGTGTGAAATACTTGAAAGCTTCTTGGTTGGCCGCAGGATCAATTTGGAGGGCTGGGATCAATTGATCCCTAGGCTCCGTTGGCATATGCTCAGGAGACAATTTGAGTCCGTTTTAAAGCAAGTAGTGAAATATGGATGGATGGTCCAACTTTCCAAAGCCAATATCAACTCACCATTTTTCCTTCCGTTATCCATTCAAGATTAGAATCTCTTTGTTTATGTGAATCATATTGATCATTTAAAATGTTAAAAGCAATGTAATGTGTCAACTGAAGAACGAGGGGATCAACAAAACAACGAGAGAATGAACAAGCCGGTGTCCGAGTGATTGTTCGGAGCAAAACTCGAGTCTTTTGGGGATCTTGAATAACAATTTATTTTTGACCAGAAAAAAGTAAAAAAACACTCACCTAACAATCACAGTTATTTTATGATATTGTAAATGATTTTTTTTGTGTCATCACAACTCTTCTCGGAATGACAAAAAAAAATATGAATTTTATTTGAAGTGAGAAGAACACATCCAATAATATCGTATTGATTTTCAAACCATTTGTTCATTAAAGAAGCCAAAGATCTTACACTATTTAAATTTTTATTAAGACATTGCATATTATATAGGGAATTGTTATTAGTATTCCAAAAATCTCATTTGGCACTCCAAACTTTCTATTATTAGAAAGAAAAATTCACTTGTTAGGAGTGTAGAATGAGATTTTTGGAGTGCTAATAACAATTTCCATTATATATTATGTAGAATTATTTTTTTAAGATCAAATCTAAAAAAATTACAACTTATTACAGTGTGGAGTTTATTGTTATATATAATTGGCCCAGTCTGGTTTTTATGCTAATGTGGGGAATTAATTCAATTCCCTGTAACCAAGAAAGAAAAGACAGGTGAAAAATTGTTACACATGGTGTGATGTGAGTCAAAGCCTCTCTAATATGCCTAGGTTAGACCTAACTGTTGGAACGATGAATCTCAAGATATAAGTTTTTTGGCTAAGAAAAAATATATCTTTTTATGGAAATGATCATATCTTTACATAGGGTTAATCATGGGTTTGAATATGATGATTCATTAGGGCAAGTGCGCCGCTCCCTAAGTGGTTAACAATAGTTGACTAAGTGAGACATGTTACAGGGACACGAAATAAGAATCTTGTTTTAGGATAGTACTTAACAATATCAATGATCATGGCCTATGCCTGGGCCACGATTTTAGGGATCATTATCCCTTGGAGATTTGGCTGGATCTTTCCTTAGCTGTGGGATCATGAATTTTCATCAGCTAGAGTGGGGCGAATTAGAGTAAGTATGCCTCCATAGTCCAGCCATACACCAGACGAATCTGATTAGACTGATCGAGTAAACAGTCCAATGGTGCTACCACACCTTGTTGGCCTTCGAAATGGTAGGGAAGACCCGCAAGCCTTGTGGAGAAAGACCTGCTTGCTCTACAAGACATGAAACCTAATTTGACTCGAGGTTAGATTGGTTTTATATATTCTCCCGTTTAATACGGATTCACTATCCTAAAAAGGCTCTCTCTCGACTAGTATAAATAATCCATCCAAGGTTCACCAAAAGTACTATGATATTGGCATTCTGGTTAACATATCTCTCTTGCTCTCTAGCCCGCTTCTTGAGTTTTAAAACCTTTCACTCGATTGTTGGAGATCCTTTGGCGTTACCATACTGGTGCCCAGGAATTCATGATTTTTCGCTTCTCTTGCATGTGGACGATCAAGTGTTCCTCCATCCAAGGTGGTGTGGAAATTTAGTTCAAACGCTAGCCCTTCTGGGCTAATCTCATTTGTGAGTCCCTCTAGGCTCATGAGATCCTTTTTGGGCCTTGTCAGAGCAACTAAGCCTACTTGCTGCCGGGCCTTATTTACGGGTACATCTCCTCCTTGGATTAATTGTCAACCCATGCGATAGTTGAGTATTGGCGTAACTTTGGGCATAATTTCGTCATCTTGGCTTGCTTTAGTGTAACTGCCCTTCTAAGGCAGGTGAAATTTGGTTACCACAACGAGCAATTTTAATTTTTCAAGATCGATTACATTTTTTTAAGGAGCATTTCCTTTTAACTTGCGCAGTGTTTGTTCTCTAACGTGGTTAATAATCTGCATGTACAATTTTTTTTTGTTTTGTTATTAGAAACCGTATTCTACACTAAGAGAAAGGGGAAGAGGAATATTTTAAACTCGAAATGCAGTGGGTCGACAAGTAAGGTCGTAAGAGTCCTAACTATCAGGGTAATTCACCACTTACTTGTACAAACTCTTAAACCCAAACCTTTTTTCTACGTGGAAAAACTAAACAACATTTTTTTTTTCTTTTCCTTCTTATTATTAGTAAAATTTGTTAAACAGAGGGCGGGCGGGAAATTTCTGGGTGATATGGTCTTTTTTGCTTCATGGAGAAGTGGCAGTGCCTCGCACGTGAGCATTGATGAATTGCTAAACTCGGCTAGTCCTTCTCTATTTTCATTTAAAATGAAAATCTTCTTAACTGTAAGTGGAAGTTTTAATCACGCGTCTTGTAATAAAATGTGCCTAGGCACATGCAATTCGATATTTTACAAATGAAAATAAATGTGTTTTGTAGGTTTAATTTAGCTACAGTAAATTTTGTTCAACAGCAGGCTGCAGCAATCTGCAAATTCCCGTAATCTGGTTACGTTTAATCTGTACAGCCAGAATAAATATTTATAAAACTACAACTATCCGAGCTTATAAAAGTTCTTAGCAAATTAATTACAATTTAACAGGTTTACAACCAAGATCAATGGATTTCTTCACAGCATCCAATACTAACTGCGTTTTTCTGCTGATATCGGGCCATTTACTGTCCGGACGATTTCCAAATTTCCTAATGTTCTCAGCATTCCTTGCAAACTCTTGAACCATCAATGCCTCTTGCGGCAGCTCAGAAGTGACGGTAACTTCTTCTGGTTTTACATTCCACCCAATGTGGAGTTCCACAAATGTTGCCCCGGATGTGTAGTCAAATGAAGCAGAATTCTCTTGGTATGGAATAATGTAGTCATTACAATGCAGCGAACCATTAGAGCCAGTCATAGCCAAGTCCATGGACGTGTGGGAGAGGAAAGAGCAGTGACTTGTGGCGACGGTTTTGTCTGCGGGTTCCCAATGAAATGATGCAGAGCAAGACAAGATGACCCCTGCAGAGTTTCTGACGACATCAGGTAGAGCATTCACCACAATTGGTAATTTATAGTCCTTTGCCCACAAGATGGCCCCAATACAGTACCAGCCTACGTCCCCCAAGTGCACCGAGAGCATCCAAGTTCGGTTTCACTCTGATGTTGCTCTCCAAGAAATCCTGGGTTCCTGGCAGTGTTGACGTGCTACGGATCTTAAAAGCACAATAACAAGTTAAAAAAAAAAAAAAAAACAAACATATAGACATTGCAGGTAGACCAGTTGTGTTCCTAATATTAATCAATTGTCAGTAAGCAAAGAAAGTTCGAATTCCTCTCGGATTAATTCAGTGATCTCTCTCTTTTTCCTCTTTCCAGAAGTTATGTAGGTCTTATGCGTTGAAGGGTACA